ATAAACCAGAGACTCCATCAGCCTGAGACCAGAAGAACTAGATGCTGCCTGGCTACCACCAATGACCGCCCTGACAGGGAACACAACAGAAAGTCCCTGATAGAGCAGGAGAAAAGGGGGGTGAAGAACTCAAATTCTAGTAAAAAAAATGAGACTTAATGGTCTGAGACTGGAGGAACCCCAGAAAGCATGGCTCCTGGACTATCTGTCAACCCAGAACTAAAACCATTCCCAAAGCCAACTCTTCAAAGATTAGACTGGACTATGGGACATAAAATGATACTTGTGAAGAGTGTGCTTCTTAGCTCAAGTAGATTCATGAAACTAAATGGGCAGCTCCAGTCTGGAGGTGAGATAAGAAGGCAGAGAGGGTCAGGAGCTGGTTGAATGAACACAGGAAATCAGGGGTGGAAAGGAGGAGTGTGCTGTCACAGTATAGGGAGAGCAACTAGGGTCACCTAACAATGTAGATATAAATTTTTATATGAGAGACTAACGTGAATTGTAAACTTTCACTTAAAGTACAACAATAAAAAATAAAAATAAAAAAAAGCTTGCAAGCGCCTACTGGTCCCATCCTGCCTGGAGCAAAGGAGAGTGAAGAAAACCAAAGACACAAAGGAAATACTGGTCCAAAGAACTAACGGACCGCCAAGTACCACAGCCTCCACCACCCTGAGCCCAGAAGAACTAGATGGTGCCTGGCTACTACCACCAACCGTTCTGACAGGGATCACAATAGAGGGTCCTGGACAGAGCAGGAGAAAAATGTATAACAAAATTCAAACTCACACACACGAGAGAAAAAAAGACCAGACTTACTGGTCTGACAGAGACTGGAAGAACCCCCGAGACTATGGCCTCCAGACACCCTTTTAACTCAGAACTGAAGCTACACCTGAAGTTCACCCTTCAGCCAAAGATTAGACAGGTCTATAAGACAAACAATAATACACATGAGGAACACGCTTCTTAGTTCAATTATGTATGAGAGACCAAAAGGTCAATACTTACCCAAAAGCAATGACGAGAAGACAGAAAGGAACAGGAAAAATGGACAGATGGGAATGGGGAACTGGGGTGTTGACACATTATGGGGACTGCAACCAATTTCACAAAACAATTTGTGTGCAATTGTTGAATGAGAAACTAATTTTCTCTGTAAAGTTTTACCTAAAGCACTTAAAAAAAAAAAAACAAACTCAGGTAATATGAAAAAAAAAAAGAGTAGTCAGATATAAATTAAAACCCTGGCTGAACATTATTGGTGATAATGTTGTATGGATATCAATGAATAGACAAATAAACTTATCTAAATTAAAAAAAAAAATTAATGGATTCCACCAGGCCAGAGGCAAATACTTTTCAATCTCTCTCTATTCAGGGCAGCAATCAGGATTTGCCTTCGGTGGACTAAATGAAGGAGCTGGTTTATCTCAGTGGGAATTCCACAAGGAGATAAATCCTTTGCCTGCATACAACCTTGATTATTTCAATGGAATGCCTCCTGGCATAAAGAGTTTCTAATTAAGCCACAGGTTTGGCCCAAACTTATAGAGAGTCCAAAAGTTTGGCAAACTGGGAAAATCAAATGGAGAATGTGAATATTACAAGGAGATGACATGTGAAAACAGTTCCAGAATAATAGGGAATAACTTCTTAAAAATTTAACATGATTTTGTGAAAACAGAGATATTCACTGGATTATAAAAGCAGCCCTTGGGGATACAACCTACTTACGATACTGCTTAGAGAAGTCCAGTGTTTATAGGCACTCATTTAGATGCCGTGGTGCATTTACAAAGTAAGAACTATTGTTCCCATTTTAATAATTAGGAAACAGACTGAGGTCAGTTACGGGACTTGCTAAAGGTGTCACAGTAAGGAGTGCCAGAGAAGTCTTGAGCCCAGGTCTGCGACTCCAAAACCCATTCTCTTCACCATGCCACTATCCCCTTCAAGAAACTTTTCTCCCTTGGCTTTCCTGCCTCTTAGCTTTGAAATCTTCTATCCAGCCAAGCCCCAGTGTCCTTCTCTAGATGTTCCCTCTCAAAACTCCTCCTCTGTGGTTGAAGTTTCAACCACAAAGACAGTCACAGATGAGTTAACTCCATACTGTACTCTTAAGTCTCACTGACCAGGACTCGTCTCTCTCAGTCCAAAGCCCCTGCTAACATCAGAAGCTAAAGGCAGTAAGCACATCATGTTCTTACAGAATACCAGAAGGATTCTGAAATAGCAAGTCCAGTCACTTTTCTACCAAAATTTTTTTATTGGTGTCAACTGAATCATCTCTTCCTGGTCTCCCAAAGTTCATATCTTGGAGTTTCATTTTGTTAACTCTTATCTCCTTTACTGTAGGGTCTGATTCCCACAATAAAATCCTCATGGCATCACATCTAGACTGCCAGTGGGTCTCCTTGCCTCCAGTCTCTCTCCCTCTGTCCAGGGCAACTGTCCTGAAAACCCTTTCCCTTAAGAAAGTCTCCTATAGATGGAAATGAACACCAGGCCTTCCAAAAAGAATGGCAAATTTCTATCTTTCTAGACATCTGATGCTTCCCCAAATCAGAGAATTCACACTCCAACAAGCACACTGGTAGGCTTTCCCCGGAACAGGATCCACCTGCTATTGCCACTTTGCCTTTCTATGCGCCATCTCCTTAATCACTCACTAATTGCTAATTAATGTCCCATCATTCCATTAAAGCCAAGGTCTAAACTCAGTTCCTCTTTAATAAGCTAGCTCTGATAAACGCTACCAGACAGTGAGAAGTTAACATCCTTGTACTCTTTCTATGATACCACATGATATCACAAAGGGATGAGCAGGACAACTTTCTAGGAAGTTTCACATATCCCATATGATTAGATGCTCATTTCTAACCACAGCCTTGCAAGCTGAAGCAATTTGTTCAAAATCACAGCTGGGCAGAGTTGAGATAAAAATCCCCATCTTCTTCCCAAGGCTAGAGCACATTCCAGTATTTCAGAGTGCTGCTTTGCTTTTTGCACTTGACCCTTTATCTTCTGACCTTTACCTACCTTCCTGCAAGCTTCTGTTCATCTTTTTCATCCCACCTCCAAAACTGCTAGTGTTCTGGATGCAGGGAGTACCTGTGTGTTACTGGAGGAGCAGCTTTTTGACATAAGGAAGTAAAGACTTGCCTAGGAAGCTCTCTGAACCTCCCCTCCCTTACCAGGTCAGCAGTAGCAGAGGCACAATCAGGCTTACTTACCTGTAGATGACAGCAGGGATGCGCTTCCATGACCTGAAGCTTGCTACACTTTCTAATTCTTTGTCAGTGATCCAGGCAGGCACTATGAGTTCCTGTGGATAGCTACCACATAGCCTAACAGGGAAGATGAGAAAGGGGGAGAGGGAAAGAGAGGTGAGGGGGAAGGGAGGAAGAGGAAAAAAGGAAAGGAGGGGGAGGGAGAAAATGAGAAAGAGGGGAAGACACTGGGTGAATCAGTATAAAGACATTGACCAAGCTACCACAGAGCAAGTTAAAAGGCAATGAGGAACCTTACTTCAGTCTTGGCCTCTTCAGTAGGATGGGCTGCCTTAAGTTTTTATCTATGCATGTATCAAGTGATACTATCTTGGATGTTCCACTTGATGCTACCTTTTGGGGATCTGGCAATCTCAATATCAATGAAAAAAGGGGAGTCAAGGGGAAGTCTCTTTATTCTTCATTGCAACTCTGTGTTGTGAGAAATGTATAGAGGTCACTTCTAACTACACTAGTGCTTGGTCCGATTACACAAGTGTGAGTCTGTGTAACCTCTGCTGGACACTCAGTCTTTCAGGCTTTGTCAAAAGGAAACATGTAAAGAAGGTCAAGAGCCCACAATTCCAAGTTTCCAGGATGTGAACCAAACAAGATATCCTAATTGTAAGTACTAGGTGAAGCCATGAGTATGTAGAAACAGTACTACAGGCCAGCCCATTCACATACACAACCACAGTCCTATTGAGCCAAGTTAGTAACATGGACAAGCTGTTAACCATAATTTCTACCGAACAGATTATACTCAGGGAAAAAAAAAAAAGCTCTCTTTTAATTAGGGAAGATGGTAGTTGTGCGCTAGTCAAGCTGGTGCCCTGGAAAGCAGTACTTCTGATGGGCTGTTTACTTACAGAAGAATGTCTCTCCACAGGTGACCTAATCCATTTCAACAGTGAAGGCAATAAAGTCTTTAATCCACATACACCACCACCACCACCCTGCCCTTGCCTATCCTGTGCATTAGGGAAGTGGCAGAAATACATAAACTGGCTTAGGAGTTGGGGTGATTTTTGTTTTGTTTTTAATCATTCTTCACTATATATGTGCCTCCTGTTCTCGATTTCCAAGACATTAAGTATCAGGGATTTAAAAGCCTTTGAACCAGGAGAATAGCTATGACCAAGAGTAACTATACAAACTTCCCAACACCTCCCCCACATACTTCTAAATATAACCTGGGACACAGTGATCATGGCTAATACTCTAACCATAAGTCTCATTCCTTTTATCTTATTTTAAGCTGAGAACAAATTTGTCTCTCATTCTTCCTTTGTAGTGGGAAGAATTTTTCAATGTCTTGAAGACTTGTTTTGAGGTGGAACTAGTAGACTCCAAGATAAGAAGTTAATTTTTAAAATCCATATGAATTAGGGATTTTAAAAAACAATGGTTTTTGAACTCAAATATTTTTCCAACAAACTTAGCTTAATTCAGTTTTTTGACTCCACACAATTTTCTGATCATTACGTTCACTGTCGTTCATCATTACGTTCATTACGTTCAAGTAGTTTCCAGTATAAGAAAGGTGAGTTACACAGCAGCAAAGTCAGTGGCAGCCTCAGGATCTCAGAAGCCCCTCCTCTAGTCTGTTCCACACCACACCCCATTCTCTGCTTTGCTCACTAAGAAGAGCAAAGGTAGGACCGGTTTATAGCTCCGACTCTTCAGAACACCCTGTGTTCTCGGCTTCTTGGCCAAGGGCCCTGTTAAGGGCTATGCACAGTAATCAGCTGTAGTTTTCCAATAAAAAATGATATGTTCTGATGGCCAGCCACGAACAGACCAGGAAAAGCGCTATCATAATTTGAGGCAACTCAAAGGGCAAAAGAATAATTAATGCCTCCAAATGCTGCAAGAAAATTTGAGAGAAGGATGTATCAATTTAAATCTCCTGGACAATCTTCTTCTGTTTTATAGAAACCTGGATCACCTAAATTACATTAGTTAACTGCCTTTCTCCACTAACGCACTTATACTTTTTAAGGAAATAGGTAACGTTTACTATTTAATAATGATTAATATTAAATGATTAAATGGTCATAACTGTAAATTTAGTTTTAGATGAAACCCATTAAAGAACAGAGTAATATTTATGCCTATTTCATAGGATCTGGAGTAAAGTTATAGTCATCAATACTAGTTCCTAAATGTTTTATCTCTGCTTAGATCACTAATCCTATCTCAAATGTGATCCAAGTGGTGATGAGAACAATGGAAACTGCCTGCCTACAGGTAAACAAAGTATTACCTAGACAAACTTGTGCCAGGAAGAATGGGGGATGGGGGGGGCACTGGTACCCACGATACTATTAAATAAGGATTACTTTCCACTCCAGTGATAGCAATGGGAACAAACAGTTCAAGAAGTACTCTGAAGATTATGCATTTAGACTTAATAAATAAAACTCCAGTTGAAAGAAAAAGTCTAAGTTCAAATGTTCTGCCACATGAGAGATGGTATTTCTGCAAAGGCACTGGCTGTGAAACACAGTCCACAGGGTCCAGACAACTCACTTGTACTTCTCATTGATGTTGGAAATTCTCCAGGCATTATTCATATCAAAACCCATCCGCTCCACTTCGTTTTTAAACCGTGACGTTACGTGCTCCCCTAGGGGCCAGAGACAGACAGCAGAAAGGCAAAAATGAATACCATTTTGCAAAAAAAGTTGAATAAAAGCACAGTTAAACTGCTCAGGTTATTTTTAAAAGGTAGATATCGTACAGATAATAACATATACTTAGCTTTTTAAAAAATCCCTGTTAGGTTAAGAGGAAGGAAGAAGATATTAATTTTGATCAAGAATTATGTTATTTCCTCTAATATCCATTATCAACTATGAGAACAGCATCACTAACCTCATTCTCAGAGGACAAAACTAAGACTCCAAAAGACTCCATGGCCCCAAAAGCAACACTCTTGTCACTACACTGGCTATTTTCCTTCCTCCACACTCAGACCAATAAACAAAATCACTAACAAGTTCACCATAAATAGTACTATAGATCCACAACCGCGCATTTAAAATCCTTCCGCCAGATTTCAGAACTCAAAGAGTTTTTTGGATTTTAGTAAGGTAAAACGGTGCATACATTACAATTATTAGATTAACACTCTCAACCAAACCAAACCTGCTGCTGTTGTGTCGATTCTGACTCATAGCAACCCTACAGGACAGAGTAGAACTGCCCCACAAGGTTTCCAAGGAGCAGCTGGTGAATTCGAAAGGCTGACCTTTTGGTTAGTAGATGTTGCTCTTAACCACTGCGCCACCATGGCTCCAACGTTCTCAACAGGGACTGCTTAATCAAATATTAATGTTTCTTCAGTGAAATGTATGGATAACTCCCAGTAAAAGGGATAAATAAAGATAATAAATAGCCTCATGTCAACTCAGATCAGATCCACTCACTAAATAAGGCAAGAAAAACTTTTGGTTTTTCAGAACCTTTTAGATTTTAGAATTGCAGATAAGAGATCATGGAATTCTAACTGCCAGTACCCAGAAATCTCAGGAAACCCAGTACTGCTAAGTAAAACACTGAGTATTTGTAAGAATATCTACCCAAACAAGTATAATCTGGCTACATTTTCCTAGTGAATTTGGCTTTCTTGTTATTAAGACAGCAACGAAGGCAGAAATGAACCTAACATATTAAATGCCAGTATATCTGAAATAATCTCCTTCCTTGAAAAGTCTTAGGCAGTAATTTTATTTAAAAAAAAGAAAGAAAATTTAAGCAGCACCTCTAAGATACAGTGTTATAGCTTGTAAAATAAATGCTGGTGGAGGCTGGGAGAAACCATGATACCAAATAAAAGCACAAAACAAACTGCTTTGGTGATCAAAGTATAAAGCTTTGCTCTCCTACGTAGAGGAGCTTCAGAATAGGGAACAACAATTACTTGAATGAAGGACAATTCTGTAAAACTACTTTCCTATTTAAACTGTTTTTCTTGAGCTTAAGCTAGCTATTATACATTTTCTAAAAGACAGCTATAAAAAGATGAGGTGCAGAGATGCAGGAAGAAATAATCCATTGAATCTATCCCATTTGGGAAGTTTCAGAAGCAATGTAGCAGGCTTCCAAATGGGAAAAAAGCTATTTGAATTCAGGTGCCATCTGTCTACAAATTTTAAGGACTACTGACCATCAAGAATGCTAGACAGGAAGTCTTTTGTTCATAATCCCAGTCTAAACACTGTAAAGCTATAGCGACTCCAAGTTCATTAAAGAGGAGATTTTTTCTACCCAGGGATACAAGTTCCAAGCCTTTGGAAAAGGTAAAAGTACTTTAATTAATGGTTTTTCACATTAATACTTATATCTTAGAGTAAATACACAGATACCCTACAAGGATCCTGTGGTTTAAAACTAACCACTGGCAATTTACTACATGGAATCACTGTCCAAAGAAGGGCTTACAACTATCATGCAGAGTGTGAAATTCAGAGCTACACAAAGAGAAATACCACTGAGTAGCAAGTATGGAAAAGCTGTTATTTCAAGCTCCTTGAGGACAAGGAATTTTAATTATCTTTGTATCCTCTAAAGCAATGGCTTTATAAACTTTGAATCACTGTAAATAATAAGAATATATTTTACATCACATTCAATACACACGTTTATAAGAAAAAAAATTTTCACAAAACAATACTCACCCCTTACTATGTGGGGTGATGCATTTTGATACTTTCCATTCTCTTTCATTTCTTAAAAATTTGATTTCATGACCCATTAGTGAATCAAATATGCAGTCGGAAAACTTCTTGAAAAAAATCTAGCAGCAGACCTTACGTACATGAGTAATTCAACTGGCTTTTGTCAAACTGTGTTAGAAGCTTAATATGTTTATTTAGCCAGAAACGTGAATCCCAGGAAGAAATAAAAACATATTTACTGCTGGATGCTCCTCAAGAATTTCTCTCTCAGGATTTCCATGTCTCAACTGATTCAATGTTAGGCATGCTGTAATATTCCGACTTATTTTAAATATTGGGGCCATAAGGTTTTTGTTCGGCTTTATATTTTCATTTCAATCAATCCTTCCTGCCTGCCTCCCCTAACCCCAAATGAAGATGTGCTTATTTTCACCGTTTAGTATTTCTTGTACTACGAATACAGATAGTCCCCGACTTAGGACGGGGTTCTGTTCCAGCGACTCCATTGTAAGTCAGTTCTGACATAAATCGAATACCTCATTTTTTTTTTTAAGTTTTCTTATTATTGCCTTTTATTATCAGTATCTTTTTAAAGCCGATCTTTGTCTTTGGGGGTTGGAAACATTACACATAAATTTACAGATATATTTTAACACTGTATGTAGTACATATTACTAACGATAAGACTCACAAAAAAGGAAAAAACAGTTGGTCATAAGTATGAATTGTCGTAACTTGAATACATCATAAGTTGGGGACTACCTGTACATACAGTTAAGCAATTAATCACTGTAGTAAAAATAAAAACTTCTAAAGCAGTGAGCTGCCAATAAATTCTCCCTCTATCCTAACCAAAGAATCAACAATCTAAACAAATTTTCTACTAAAAAAGTCTAGCTCCTCCACTGACTGAATTTTCAAACCACAATTACACACAGCTTAAAAGCATGGGATAGGAGGGCCAGGGCCTTGCCCAGCATGTGAGCAAGTAGATCAGTACCAGAGTCACAGAAGGTGAGAACTAGCCCGCCCAGATTCCCAAACAGGAAAGGAAGAATCATTCTTTTCTGCGGAGCAAAGTCCTCTACATGCACACTTACTGGACTGCAAACTCAGGAGACTGTTGGCAAGGGCTTTCACTTCATACTAAACAGGCAGCTGCAGAGCAGTGCCAAGACCCAGAGCCATGTGCTGTCTGTAGATAAACAAGATGAGCTTAACGGGCATTTCACACAAGAGAAGTCAGAGTAAGCCTGATGCTGCTAAACTAGCAGCTGAATTGTCCAGTCATGTATCAGAACTCCAGATTAATGTTCAAGTACACAGAGATCACCAAGATGCCAGCTGTAATGAAGGGGAGGAGGTTAAGCATACGGAGAACTTTAAGCCCATTCCTCTTTCAGAATTTGACATGAGGCTAAAAGTAGAAGTCAAGAGTTTTGCAAAGGCTTTTGCAAGTTTCATAGGTGAACTCCAATAGCAGTGTTGAGACTTCTTCCAAAGCAGATTAAGAGCTAGAACTGTGGCCACAGTAAAGCTAGCTTAACTATGACAGGTTCATATGAACTCCAAGGTGATGAGGCAATTTCCCATTTCCCGCCTCTCTGGCGCAAATTCTACGCTTAACTGACTATGCAGAGAAGAATCCATAAAAAGCTTTGGCTTTATTAATTGCTAATAGACTAACTAACTTCCATCCCTCAGAGTCTCTGCTTGTGATCTCATGCATTGGGGCAGATTATACAAAAGAATCACTTTGAAATACCTGAAGTGCTGTCTCACCCTAGTCTGGTAATGCTTATATTTGGTGAGCAATGTTGGGTGGAGACAGAAGAACCAGGTTGACTGGCTTTAAAACTGCCACGATGGTACTTCTTATTAAGAGCAAGTTTTGCTCAATTCTCTACAGTGAAAATATATGAAAAGAAAAAGCCATACGTACACATACACTCAAACCAAGTCACTGAAGTACAGTAAGATGCCATGTGGCTGATGGTCCATAACTTCAATGTGGACTGTGTATCTTGGGAAAAAACAAAAGCTACCTTTACTCACAGAGTAAGTTCTAACTGATCAGTTCTGATGGTATCACCTCGTATTTGCATAATTTACAAAGCGTTTTTCCAGTATGGCACATAGGAAGCACTCAGACATTTACTGAATTGAACTCTTGCGCATTCAGAGATTTGATCTTCAGAGTACCTGAGTCAGGTATTCTGAAGAGCTTGCATGTCCCAGTTTGAAGAACAAAGAAAACTAAAGTACAGAGAAGATAAATGGCTTGTCTGGTGTTATTTCTTCAATTAAGTTGTAAGGTACAGGTTTGGATTCAGGTTTTCTAACTCCTTAATCAGTACTTTACCCCCTTCACACCGCCATGCATCAAAAACCCACAAAAGAGAGAACAATGCAGATGTCTGTATGACATGATGGCCAAAAAAACCCCAGATACCATCAGGAAGGAGACCAAAGCCTCCTAGCTTAGGACAAACCCACCCATATTTAAAATACAAGAGTGAGGTTCTGACCTGGCCTATCTTAGGAATATCCTAAGAGTTGGCTCAAATCCAAAAGAAACAATATAATGTATCAAGGGAATAATGTGAAGTTATCTAAAAAGCTGAGGAATTTTCCATCTGTGGTTGTGAGAAAACAGGATACAAGAAACCAAGCTTTGCTGACTAAACCCTGGCACCCAAAACCAGGGAATGCCTCTTGGAGTTAAGAGTTTTAAATAAATTAAAGATCTTATATAGCATAATGCATCAGGGTACACTCATTTAAGTTCATTATCCTAGGATATGGCAGAGATGGAAAATTTAATAAGATGCAATGATTTAAAAAAACACTCAGTGAATATACACTTAAGATGTGTGCATTTCATTGTATGTAAATTTTACCTAAAAAAAAAAAACAAACCTTGAAAAGGAGCTATAAACAAACAAAAAATTTTAAAAATGCCATAGCATCTCAACGAAGATTTTTTAAAATACAGAACACTCCACCCAACAGCAGCCAAGTATACTTTCTTTTCCAATGCACATGAAACATCTTCCAGAGTAGACTACATATTAGGCCACAAAGCAAGCCTTAATAGAATCCAAAACACTGAAATATTACAAAGCATCTTTTCTGACCATAAAGCCATAAAAGCAGAAATCAATAACAGAAAAAGCAAGGA